GAACTCTCCACTGGGCCACTTTGGCCACCTGCCAGCCACCCCAGCATACAAGCAGCTCCCATTCATTCATTCATTCATTCATTCATTCATTCATACATTCAGCACTGTGTATATATGCGCACTCCACCTTCTGGGTCAATCCCCAGGTCTGGGAGCTGCCATTCAAGGCCAAGAGGATACTTGGCCCCAGCTCCGTCCAGGTCCCTGGTTCTCCCCACCTTCTGTATTGCCACCCGGTATTGAGCCTTGATCCATCAGCTCCAGGTTCAAAAGAGCTTTATTTATTCTCTGCTATTTTCTCAAGTTGTCATCTCTGCAAGAAATGGAGCTGTCCAGGCTCACTGAGGCTCCTATCTTTATGTTCCTCTTAGATCTCAAAATACCTTTCTAGCCAGGAACTAGGTCCCCGCACAACCAACCAATCCATGCACTGAGCATGTGTGGGCAGGAAACCTCAGCCACCATCCTCTAAGAACAGCCCTCTTTGTTCCCAGCTCTAATGACATGAGCCCAGTAAAGCATCAGCACCCATGTATCACATTAGTAGTAAGTGCACAAGAAAAAGGAAATTTGGGGCACAACAGTTGCATCCATATATGAGTTTATGAATGACTCAGCATAAAAGCAGTTGATATTGGAGTTAAACCTCTGCAAGTCTGCTTGTTAAGATTTTTAATTTCTGGGGCCAGGGAGATGGCTCAGTAGAATAAGCACTTCCCTGGCAAGTACAAGGGCCTGAGTTCAATCCCTAGTTAAAAAAAAAAAAAAAAAAAAAAAAAAGATTAGTAATTTCCAATAGCTGCTTTATTAGGAAAATAGGAAAAATATGAGGCTAGAATTCATACTTAAGTTTAAGAGATTTTAAAAATTGGTTTTAGGAAGGTAAAATTAAAATGGATTATTAAAAATAAAATCTCTTGTGAGATGACTTGCATAACATAAAAGACCTCCTCTATGGCTCTCACCACACGGCTCAGGCTGGCCTGTGACTCATGGTCCCGCCTCCTGAGTGCTGGGATCACAGCCATGCACCTCCGCACCTGGCTCCAAGTCTTCCTTTTAACACCACTGAAATAGAGAAGGCGGCTGCAGTGTCGTCTTTAAAGCAGAACTGCACTGCCTGACTGCAGCTCATTTTCTCCGTAATACAAATCACCCAGCAGCTATTCCGCTTCTTGGAATGCAGTGCGGCTGCCTTAAATATTCAGCACTGTGCTGCAGATGGCTTAGGAAATGTTTTCATCATTCCCAAGCAGAGCTCCTGCCAACATTCCAGAAGGGTCATGAGGCCCAGGTGCAGCAGTTTGCAGGTCACTGGATGATAATGAAAGTAAACACAGTTCCTTCAACTTTGAGTCTTTGTAGGTTATCAGTCTCAGACCATGCTTTAGTTTCCTGGCAGACCAGCCCTAGGGGCTTCTTCACGTACACTCTTCCTCAGCCACTCATTCTTCTCCCTAACTGAGATCTCTCCCTTTCAACCTGAAAGTCATCTCCATTGAAGAGCTGCCTCAGACATTGTTGTTTGTCCGACCCCTTCCCTGAGTGCTCCAAGCAGAGTTCCTCCTCCCCCAGCTCCCCTCTACCCTGTTCTGTTCTATCAGGTGCCTTGCTCCATGAAGACCTCATGGGGGCATTATACCAGGCTTCTTCTTTGAAGTCGTAGGGCCAAACTCAAGACTGCAGATCCAGTCATATTCATTGTGGAGCTTCTTCTTTACCAAGATGTCTTGCATGTTTTGAGTTTTCATCAAAGGTTCAAGGATGGATGG